AGTAACGAACGCCGTACAGATAATAAGTCCACGGAGATAAGAAGATAGACTGTGCCGGTTGTCCCTTCAAGATCGATTCACCAGGTTTGAAAATAACTTTTTAACAAAGGTGTTCGTAGAGAGGGGGATGTATCGGTGTGTGTAATCACATTTGTGGCGGTGCCACCCACGCTCGTCGAAGGTCTTTACATCAATCCCAATTCCCGTAAGTTCTCGACTAATGGCTAATTTCCTCGCGTGGAACTTTCCAAGTAACCTTAGAACATCCCTCAGACACGAATCTGTTAAGTATACTCGCCGAGGACGCTTCCCATCGACTCTTTTCCCATCACTTCCGGTTACCTGTCCGCGACCTCAATCTGTGTTACCCAAAGGGAGTAGTTTAGCTTGTTAAGCAAGCTGTTAGTTCAGTCGAATGTGTCGGATTTATTTACAATTTGAAATTCGACAAATGAAAATTCCACTCTGTTGTTGTTGTAAGAGAGAATAATTGTTAAGCAAATATTAATGGACCATTTTCGCGAGAGAATGCTTCTTGAAAAATTAATGGACCATTTTCGCGAGAGAATGATTCTTGAAAAATGTAAATACACCATTTTCACGAGAGAATGCAATTCTTGAGAGAGAGTAATTCTTAAAAAATGTAAATACACCATTTTCACGAGAGAATGCAATTCTTAAGGAAGAATAATTCTTAAAAAAAAAAATGAATAAAGCATTTCTAAGACAGTATGCAATTCTGGAGAGAGAATAATTCTTAACCCCACTGCGTTCTTTGTTTTGACTGTACATTCAAGACTTTTGGATCAAAAAGGACCTAAGACCTTGTGTGTAATAATTTTTGTTTCCAACGCGACATATGAACCTAGACAATAAACGTTTAAAATAATGTTAAGGAACGTAAACTTGATAACAGCAAAAATTACTAAAAATATAAAAAGGCGGTGGGTCAAAAAGGACCCGAAGACCTCTCTAGGGTTAAGAAAGAATAAATAACGCATTTTCATGAGAGAATACAATTCTTGAGAAAGAATAATTCTTAAAAAAAATGAAGCATTTCTAAGACAGTATGCGATTCTTGAGAGAGAATAATTCTTAAAAAAAGAAATACACAATTTTCATGAAAGAATGCAATTCTTAAGAGGGAATAATTCTTGATAAGAGAAAATAAAGCATTTTCATGGGAGAATGCAATTCTTAAAAAAAAATAAATAAAGCATTTCCAAGGCAGTATGCAATTCCTCAGGGAGAGAATAATTCTTAATAAAAAGAAATAACGCATTTTCATGAGAGAATACAATTCTTGAGAGGGAAGAATTCT